CATCTCAAGCCTGTTAATAATCATCAGATGCCTCATCGTCATCATCAGCATATATGAGAGAATCATCATCGCCATTATCATCATCATCATCATCATCGTCATCATCGTCGTCATCATTAGTACAATCAACGTCATCATCATTATCATCATCATCATTATCAGCATCATCAGTACAATCATCATCATCCTTCTCATCACTACCTCACTATTCATTCAACACTAAAACTAACATTATTATCTGCTCTTTAACAAATGAGACTTCCTGGAGAGCACCAGTGGTGGAAACTATCATCATCATCATCGTCATGATCATCATCATCACTGTCAGTCATCATCACCATAATCAACACTGTCGTCATCGTTATCATCGTCATCCCTCTTGTCATCATAATCCTCCCAACTTTCATCATCATCCTCACTAAAATGATCACCGAAATCATAACAACCATCATCATCATAAAATCATCATCATCATTATCTTCATCATAATCATGGTTGCTTTCATCATTGTTGATATTGAAATTTCTGAAAGCTATTTCTTTTCACACACGAACAAAGCCAACCAGAAAAATGGAAACCACAAAAAGGTGAAAAACTTGATTAAAAAATGAGCGGACGTGTACAGTGCGGTCATATTTTGCAGGGATTTTCATATAAAAGCAGCCACCTACGTGTAAACAATTGTATTGATCAAATGTAAAAGTATCAACAAAGTTGTGGCCCAGTGGTTAAGGTCGCCTGCTGCAGTTCCGCAGTGCGTGCAGCGAACGGTATCGAATACGACAAAAGGATCCTATGCTTCATGTATTCACATATGTCGTTTGTGTGTTGTTGATTCTACTGAATATTTGAAGAGTGAATTTTGGAGACTTTAACTTTTTTTGAAAAAACTTTGATAAAACGTAATTAAAGTTCTATTTGAAATTTAATTATATATAATTGAATAAAAATAAATACAACAAACAGAATTGAAATAAATGTGTTAATTTGAAGAAACATCGACAAAAATTTTTAAATAAATTTTCATTTTTTAATTGTATTTGCTATCATGTCCACAATCTTGTGGCATTTAATTTTGAGCCAAAAATTTTTGCGAATCCTATTTCAACTTGAAAACTTACAGTTGAATACTTCTATTTAAATGGTCATTTACATGAAAAATATCACATAAAAACCGAGATCACAACAACAGCAACGACAAACTTGACGAAGATATTTTGGGTGTAATCAGAAAAACAACAACAGCAGAGTCAACAACACCATGCTATCAAAAACAAAAACCAATCTTGACAACAGGAAAAATCTATTAAGATACAACAATTTCGACAACGCCACTCGGGGCAACAACAACAACAACAGAAGCAGCGGCAACAGCCACAACTCAATTATCACCAACACAACCACATAACCATTCAACCATCCGCATAACAACAACAACAACATCATGCCAACATACAACAACAACAGATTATAATTAAACACCACTCGTTGTTGCTTCCCACCTACGATGATGCTTGCGCGTGTTGACAAAAATGTGAAAATACTTTTGTCAATGTCCTCCAGTACTAAATACACTAAACTTCTACAACAAATACACGATCACACATACAAAAAATATATCACACATACAAAAAATACAAATTACATCAAACCCATACAAAAATACACAATGTAACACGAACATACGGCTAAACTAATGCAAAAATACAAACTAATACATACAAATGCTCATTGAAAATGTTGACAGAGATGTTTAATTAAGAAATTAACTTCGTATGGTAAAGTTCACGTTCGATTGTATGCTGTGTATTTAGGTATTTGTGCTGGTATAGTATTCTGTATTTGTGTTTTTAGGTATTTATGCTGGTACGGTATTTCGCAGGTTTGAATCGCATTAAAAAAAGGTTTTTCATTTGGCTTTCATTGACATGAAGTTGGTGTTTTCTATCAATTAAAAAAATGTACATCTGTATGTACTACTCTGTTGACGGCTTCGAATGAAATTTAACAGCAGGGTTTGAACGTGTGGTTGATAATTTCACAGAACTTCCTGTCGGACGAACATGTCACTAAATAACTTGAAACAGAATTTTCGCTTATATCTCATTTATTTCTTTATTTAATTATTTTTTAAAAATATTAGTTGCGATTTAATAATTATATATTAAAATGAAAAATCAATCAAATCAATATAATCAATCAGTCGGACGGTCGATCGGTCTGTCGATCAGTCAGTCAGTCAGTCAATCAATCAATCGTGTTGGCTCAATTGTTAAAGGCATCTGGTCCTGCTGTCGCAGTGACTGCCTTCGAATACAACGAGATCCCCGCCTATCATATGCAATGTGTGTGAGGGTGGGTTTCACGCGTATTCATATATGCTGTGTGTGCTTGTTGTTGATACTTCTGAAGCAAGTGCGAAAGTATGAATGACCTAACCTTTTAACCTTCAATCAGTCAAACAATAAGTTTTTCATTTATCGAAAAATAAATAGTGTAGATTTCCAAAATTATTTTCTATCGTTGGCCAATTTCATTGAAATCAATAATCCATCCACGTCTTGGAAAGTTTTTCAACTTGTCTCTTCTAGTTTTGTCCGCATCAATGCTAATCTATTAATTTATTTGTTCCGTGACCACGTCCGAAGAGTCTCAATTTTCGTACTTGACTTTTTCGTATATGCATTTTTATGTTCCAAGGTGTTTTTAATGATTTGGTTTTTCACCACCTGCCCCCCAGTCCAGTTGATTCACAACAATTTTTCGTAGCACTACGTTTCAAAAGTTTCTCAGATGTAGAAAATATGCCTACACGTGTTTCTGCTATTGTTAACTAATTATATATTTTTATTATCCTTTTTATTTTTAACCTTCAAACATTTTTTGGTAACTTGGATTATAAATCTGACACGCTGAACTGTTGTCAGCTGACGTAAGTGCATTGTGTATGTATGCAATAAATTAATTTTCATTACAAATGTTTCCGATTGGCTCCATATTTTCTGGTTAATTCAATTTCATTCGGTGTTCAGTCGAGTGTTGATTTTCTCTATGTTTTTTTGGAGGAAAAAAATCATCAAATTTTTTCTCCTGCTAAGTTTGTTTGAAATGTAATAAACACAACAACAATTTGAAAATAAAATTTTAAAGAACTTTTACAGACTAAAAAGCAATTGACGTTCGTACATGGTAAACCCCGGTAACTCAAAAACACTGACTGAACCTTCAGAGAAATTTTTCTTTAACTTTCAACCCGACGTTTTGAAATTTAAAAATAGATCTTATTGCACTATGAAAGAGCATGACAAAAATTTGAAACTTCGTGACAAATAGCCGGGCTGGGATATTAAAATCATCAAAGAACGAGTTCGTCCCGAAAAATTTGAAAAAAATTGCTATACTATACATACAGTATATATTATATATATTTAGTTTGTATATATAGTATATAAAATTGGTTGTTCCTGTTCAAGAATGCTTTTGAGTAGGTACAAATATTATACAGAAATTTCTATTCAAATATTGGCTTGATTTATTTTATAAAGTGCAAAAAACTATTAAATTGACTTAAACTACATTAAAGAATGCTCACACACGTTTTCATTTATATCGAACATTAGTTAATTTTAAATTGAATTGTTTAATTAGTTGTCAAACATTTTTTTAAATAATTTATTATCAACTATTTTGTTGGTTCAGTTGCTCACTTTTTCATTCTCACCCTCATTCGTCACTCATTAAATGATAGAATTTAAGATTTTTTTTATTCAATGAATTTTATTTACTTGTTAAATTAAAAAAAATTTCCTGATCCAAAACAGTTTTGGGAATTTTTGTAAAATTTATAATAATAAAAAAAACAAAATAGATGCAGAAGTTGGTTGGTTGAGAATGAGATAAAGATTGCTATATCCAAACGAAAGTCGTTAATGTTGTATCGGCCTTGCAACTTTGCAAAATGACCAATAAAAGCTAGTAATCAAAGTTAAACGACGTGCCTTTAATTAAATTTGCATCAAGCAATTTCTTTCCATCTCAGCTTCCAAATTCTCGCTCTATCTGTCATTACATTAAATGGATGCTTCGCGGTTTGGTCATATGCATCAGTTCCAGTTGATCGATCATTAGATTTCAGCGTTTCAGTACATGCGTGATCAAGAAGTTTACACATTGCAAAACTTAAACAGATTAATTTGAGGAAATTTAAAACAATTCTATTTATTCTATTTTTGAGCATTTTTTAAAAATATAATGAGAATTAATTTCAGTAATGAATGTAGATGTCTAGAAAGATTAAAAGTAGCTCATTGATTAAAATTTCAGGAAACAATAATGTTTACTATCTTCTCAGAAATTTTATATTCTAAGACATCACTTGATTACATACGCCTTGTGCATGGGTGTGTTTGTGTGTGTTTTTATGCATGCGTGTGTGTTTGTATGCGTGTGTGTGTGGTGTGCGTGCGTGTGTGTGTGTGGTGTGCGTGTGCGTGTGTGTGTGGTGTACGTGTGTGTGTGGTACATGACTAATAACGGATTGAAATTATTTTAGCCTATTCTATTAAAATTGCATGACATTCTAATTTGCCAAAAACACAAAAATTATTACTAATTTCCATTTCGGTTCGAAGTCTGTGTTAGTTGTGGCAAACCTTGGCTAAGTTGAAACAGTGTTAGATATAGTGAGCATGAAAAATCAATGGTTGGTGTTATTTATATAATCACAACATAAGCAACGAATCTTAACTGAAATGGATCTTCTTTTTTTCAAAATTGGTTTTAAAAACTTATTCTTCAATAAAAACTATTCGTTTTCTATTTTCAACTTTTGACTTTGGTTGGCTCATTATGTATTCAGTTCAAAAATGTTCTTTTCTTTTCACTCAACAAATAAATAGATTTTCAACAGAAGCAAAGGCGGGCAAAACAAAAAACTAAGAAAGCAAACAATCGATTTGTAATGAGTCCAATGTAAATAGTGGAAGTGAGAAATAATTAACCTGAAGCTGCTGCAAGGATGGATGATCCAATTACCAACTGCTTTCTGTCGCATCTTCTCTTTCATTAGCGCATTTCGATTGCCAAACAACTTCAGTGCCAGTTTGTTATCTGAAACTTGGAAGAACGATATGATCTGATCCTTCAAGTAGCTTCCAGTTTTTTGCACATCTTGTTGCGATTCGTGCTGACTACTTTGCTGCTGCTGCTGCTGTGGGCATTCACCATCGTTGTTGGACAGCAAGGTGGAGTCTGGCGAGAAGACAGACGAGTTGATTATTGTGGTTGTTGTTTCGCGGTTTATGTTACATTCGGCAACAGATTCGTTGGAGCGTAGGTGGGTTGTTGTTGGTGTGCTGAACTGTCGCGTCGGTGCAGATGTCACCAGGGTCTGTTTTGAGGAATATTGCCGTGGCATCGGAAGTGGCGTGGAAGATGTTGACGGTGGAGTCAGGTGGATTTCTGGAATGATGTTTTGCTGATTACTTAACAAGATTGGGTGATGAGAAGATGTTATTGGATTACTCTTCTGTAGTTGCTGTTTATATTGCTGGTGATGTTGTTGCATGTGGTGCTGTTGTTGCAGCTGCTGGTCCTGAAACTTTTGTTGGTGTTGCTGAAATTGATGTTGCATTTTTTGCTGAAGTTTTTGTTTTCGAAGCAGTGGGGTTGTTTGAAGTCCACTTAATTTATGACGCTTTCGTTCGCTTTTGTCATCTTCTTCGTCTTCATTTTCGTCGTCGTCGTCGCACGGCTCGACGATGACCGGTATTCGATCTTCGACAGGATTGAAAGGTGATGGATGGTAATCTGTCGGTACATTTCGAACGTTTGTGTTGTTGTAGGCCGCCATGTGGTAGTCTGTCTTCAGAGTGTTGCACGTTTCTTTTTTGATTTTGTTGTTTATCCTAAGTTGATTTCATTTTGACAGGTTGCAAACTCAAGTCCAGTTCCACAATTGTGTATTTTTTATATTGTTTTGTTAGTTTCAAGTTTAATTTCTAATATAAATGGCACCCTTGAAAAAATTTTCATTTAATTGGATTTGTCCCAGTGAAATGAAAATTTTCGGAAAAATAAATTGTATTAATTTGCTTAATGAAATTTATTGAGATTACTTTGAATCACAATTTATTTGTAACTGTTGTAACATTTCATTCAATCATAATAATGCTACCCATTTTTATAACCCGGCTTTTGCATTATTTTGTTTCTCAATTTATTAGAACAAAAAAATGGATTCAAAACAATAATTCAGAATGGATAACTTTGTTGATAATTAATTTTGCAGGTGAAATCAATCTAAAGTTTTGTGATTTGTAAATAATATTGTGATCAATTTTTATTCAGTGGATAAATGATTTTTTGAACAAACAATATTGCCACAAATGTGACCACTTATTTTTATATTTTTTGTTGTTGTTTGCTTGTTTTACAGTTCATTAAGATGATTGTAAATTATTATTGTTTATGAATGTTTCTGTGTTTAATGTTGCTGTAGCCATTGTTGCTAGTGTAATTGTTGTTGTTGTGATTGTTATTTGACCGATATGATCTGGAAATGTACCAGGACGACGACACAGAACGCATTGGTCTGCTGCTGCTGATGACTTTCAGTTGGATGCAACTTCATGAACACCACGCCACGCCAGTCGCTCAGCCTGATAAATAATTCAGCAGAACAAATCTTCCAACCCCTCCCACCGACGTCTGGCCTACCTGCTTCTGCATTCATCTCCATCTCTTCCACGCTTCTTATGATGACTACATGTTCGAATGTTTGGACGAGTTTGTAAAATAATGCACCTCAGTTACAGGGTCATTAAAAAGTAACTCCACACTTTAAGAAAACCGTAATTTATAATTGAAATATTATTCATACGTTTAGTAAAATTGGAGAAGAAATTATTTTGCATGCACTTTACTTGAAAATAATTATATTCTTGGATTGGTTGAGTAAACTCGCTCTTTCTTACAGCTGGTCATTTGTGCAAACCGAGACGACTGATCCATCTTACCCAAGATATTTTCATTCAGTATTCCATTTCATTATGCCTTCAATTGTATTTAAACTGGGCCATCTCACCACCTTACCAGTTGAAAATTATAAACGACAAAAAATGTCGCATTGGTAAACGCTGTGGTAATTTTTAATAACACAAAACTTGGGTGGTACAAAATTTCAAAATGAACTATAAAATAACTTAAATTTGAAAAAATGCTTACGACCATGGAGTTGCGTAATTTGAACCGGGTTGAACCAGCCAGCACAAATTATGGCGGTAACGAACAAAGTGAATTTTAATCATGTGTACCTAGGCACTGCAGTTCACGTGCACCTCCTTTACACCTGCAAACTTTAATTTTCAGTTGCGATTAAAAAATTTTTGCCCGAAAATTTATGTTCCCGACTTAGTCACCTTGAGCAGACAGCCTTGAAAATATCAAACTAAGACATGCAAAGTTGTACTGATGCACTGACTTGATAGAATTGAAATTAATGGATGAAACACGCATTGTGGGCTAATCATGCTGCTGTCGATTGTTCATCCATCCTGTGGTTATTAAAATAAGAACCAAATTTCAGTGCAAAAACTATTTAACGTACACTTGCATAACTTTAAAAATCAATTAAATTAATTAAACCCCAATAAATTAAATGTGACTGTGTTATTTGGTGTACGCCGATCACATGATGCTCTTAAATCTAACAGGATGTCCAGTCCAAACATAAACAACTGTACAAACTTGCTGAAATGTCAAGTGAACCTCAGACATCAGATGTTTTTCAAAAGAATCTTAAATATATATTTTCATAGAAGTATTATATGTGTGTGCGTGAGTGTGTGCGTGAGTGTATATATATACAATTGATTAGGAAAGTCGCAGCATTTTCAGCGTTGCTCAATTTTCTATTTAACAATTGTATATCTGATAGTCTGAATCCTAAATATGTATTAACGGGTAGAATCATGATACGAATCATAAAATCACAAAATATAACCATATCAAGAAGGATGCACGCCTTAATTCAGCGCGTTTCAGCAAAAACAAATACTGCGGTAAACAGTAATATTGTTTTAAATTTGTAATTACGGTTATCATGATTTTAATTATTCGTAAAATAAATTTTTGTTCGTCTTCATCCAAATTTTATTTTTCCATTCATCATTCTACAAAGAAGTTCAGTGTGGTGTGTGCGTGTAAAGATAGTTTGAAAGGGGCTGGCTGGCTTATAGTTTAAAACGTGTTGCTCTAATTGATGGTAGCAAGTAATTCAAATTAAACCAATATTTAAAAATTATTTTGGTGAGTTTTATGAAAAAATTGAACTTTTGACAATTGACGTCACGACAACATGACGCCATTTCATGATTAACTTGCCAGTTGTTGACTTTCAATAAATAGCTCTACTGAGGCGAAGGTTTGATAGTTTCAGAATGGTAATTATTATTACTACAATTCAAGATTCTAGAATGTAACTGAACTTACTTCTCAACCCGCCGGTTGTTCTGCGAAGGGAGTACATCACTGTTCTAATATTGGCACTGACAATGCCAGCAACAACAATAACATTATTATTATTAATAAATTATTATTGTTATTATTATAACAAGTTTTTGTATTAACAGCAATAATAATGAAATGATGAATAACACAAATTTCAACAACTTATAATATATAATTGCCGACCAAACAGTTAGTAATTAGTATTTGACTTAAATTTATAAAAGTATTTACGTTTCAATAATTAGAAAAAAAAATTAATTGTCTATAGAATCTAAATTGAAAAATAGTTTAGAAGTGACGTTTTAATTACAACATAGAATATTTATCACATTAACAAAAGCAAACGACTTAAAATGTCTTGAAAATATCTTATAAAAATAAATCAACAAATAACCATTACAGAGCTTCAAAACAAAATTTCCAAATCAAAGCAGTAAGCAGTGAGTAACAAGAACTTTATCGGGAAAGAAATAGGAAATCGTATCAGATGCAGCTTAATAGAATCATTTGAACACTTCCACCTATTGGCATTGATCATTTAAAAAGGCTCGGAAAAATTTGTATTCAAGAACGTATACGCGCACATCTTTATATACAACATACATATGTTATGCACCGGTAGGTTACATGTTCTCTTTATCAACACATATGTATAGTATATATTGCTACACATTTAATTCATCTGTATTTATATTTAATGTGTTTATGTTTTTCACATTTATTTATATTTATGTGTGTATAAATATCTATAAAGGGCTTATTCGTTTTATTGTCTTTTTGTTTCGTGGGTTGGTTGAAAATATTTTAGTTACATTTTATTCAAAGTATATTAACAAATTTATTTGTAAATTCTTATTTGCTGTTTGCTTTGATGGTTTGAATTCTAATGCTCTTGGTATGTTTGTGTGGATTGAAATTGCTTATGTTGTATTTTAATGTTTTTTTTCGAGAAATATAAATTCTTTATGGAATTGCAAAGGTTATTTTTTTTAAATATAGAAATTTTTGAATTGCGTATTTGGCGCCCATCCATTATCTGCAAGTCCTCGACGACGATGAGATGTGCAGTATTTGTGTGTCTGTGTGTGTGTTTTACTATTTTTTATTTTCATTTATATTTATATTCGTAATTATCTTTGACATTTGCGTTAAGAAGTTTTGATGCCAAAGTCATTGATGTTCCAGTGGTCAGTTTGCTTGTGTCTGCTTGTTAGAATGTGTGTGTGTCTGTGACTGTTTGTGGTTTTTTATGTGTGTTTTAGTATGTTTGTTCATTTGTACACGTGTGAGTGTTTGTGATCCTCTGTTCTGTTTCCATGTTTGTCTCTGCTTTCTTTGGTAAATATTCACATGATCATGTTACGACATGTTTTCACTGGCGAAATGTGTATTTAAGTCTGTTTGTTTGTTTGTACGTATGCATGTATGTATTAAGGTATGTATGTATGTACGTATGTATGTATGTGTATTTATTTTTCAAACATTTAGTAATGTTTCTGCGGATATGTTCTATAGCCTGTTTAAATTTCTGTTCGTGTCACTGAAAATGTATGCGCTGACAAAATTGTCAATGTCTGTTAGAATGATTTTCTTCCTGTCTGTTAGTGTTTGCCTCCATTTTTGGAATCAGTATCGACAAGGTGTTTCTCAGGTTTGCGCTGTTGTGACACTTTCCTGTTGGTAGCAAGCCGCTTCCAACGATTATCGTTCATCAACACTGGCTAACGGAAAATATTTAAAACAATATCTATAATTTCAAAAATCTTACAGACATAAACTTTTTCAGTCTACCATAGTAAATCTGAATTTAAAATATTTTAATAGCGAAATGACAAGAGTTCAAAGTTATTTGTTTATTACAAAATTTAAAACTTCTTCAGACTGTCTCCCTCCAAAACAATAAACTTCATTTACAAGCGTTTAACATTATCGTTATTTCTGCCTGATTTATTCATTTGTTCAATCTTTTGAAGTGTTATTTATGACTTAGAATTGGATAGGTAAAATAAATAAACATAAAGAATATATATATGTTTATATATTATACATACATAAGTGCAGTAATTTGTGAAATCTATCGAATTTCTAGCGTTGGATAGTTTTTTGTTACATTTCTCAATATTTTGGTGAATGCTGGTATGAGACCATAAATTAACGCAGTAATTTATGAGTTTTTAGTTTTGGGTATTAAGAAATGTAACAAAAAACTATCCAAAGCTAGAAATTTGGTAGATTTCATAAATTACTGAAATAAATATGGCCTTCTACCAGCATAATTTATCTTTTGTGTTCGAATTGAAACTTTGTGTTAATTAGTTTTACAATCTTCAACTTCGTCAAATATAACACTTCTACGTGTTTTCATTATTGATGATTCCTCTGTTTTTAAATTTATTAGTAGGAAGAATTCCAACGGCCCGTTGTTGAATATTTATTATCGGATGACTTTGTTCTATGAATATTCAATGAATATTGATTGATTCGGCTTGTCGTAAATTATAATGGTTGTTATTTTAATGTAAGATTTCAACATTGTGGTCCAGAATATGTAATTTTAGTTTTGTGTTTCTCTTTCCTGTGATTCTTTATAGCGCCAGTTTGTACGTGCATCGTCAGTCTTCTCTATAACTTGGTCGTTTCAATTCAATATATATATATATATCAATATATATATATATATATATACATATACATATATATAATATATATATATAATATATATATATATATTATATATATATATATATATATGCCAAATATATGTATTATATAAATAAAAAATATGCATGTGGGTATTTATTTATTCATTTTATATGATTATATACATTTATTAACTTAAAGGTTTTTATTTCAATTTTTATGTCAACCTGAACACATTCTAAAGGACGCATCACACACAATGCATGTTAAAAGCGAGGATCCTTTTGTCATATTCGAGCCACATCACTACGAAAGAGGAGCAGGCAGTCTTTTCCACTGGGCCGTCGTGCCGATCAATATCAAAACAGTGCAAAGACATGGAATAAAATTTATGGAAGTAGTTATCTGACATATTTGATTAAATGTATTGAAATTCTGAATAGATTGGAAGAACTTCAGCCTTGATAATCAGAAGATTGACCAGATTGACCGTGCACATACAAAACGAAGTATAAAAAATTATTTAAAAAGCGTTCACAACAAACCGTCAAAATAAAAATAATAAATTAATTCATAAAATTTTGTGTTACAACACTAATCATTTTAAATTGAAAATTAATAAAATTATGTTCATCAATAAAAGTGTCTGTAATTAATATTCAACAACAGGCGTTCAACTATTGGCACCAAACTGATTGGTTATCAAAAAGAGACTCAATCAAATATCAAATCACTTTCAAATAAGATGTTCACAACGTACCAGTGTCAATCTTCATCAAAATCATCAAAATGTCTTCATCCTGCCAACATGTTTACAACACTGAACGTAATAATTAATGCCGAAACGTTTTCTCTAATTTATGAAGGCATTTGATGAAATAAATGTGATTCAAAGTTTGTGAAAATTAAATTTATTATGTTAACAAGTTAAGCAGTGTGACGCTCTAAATCAGAAATTTTTATAAATGTACAAATAAATAGATGAACAAAAAATATACAAATAATGATAAAATATAATATGTAAATATTAGATGGATCCCTCAGTTCTCATACGATATAATAATATGACGTGATTGATGTGCGATCCGAACAGCAGATAATAAAGCATCTCCCTCAATTGCTTCTCTTCCATCTTCCTTCTTGCTCAGAATTCTCACCGTTCACGTTATTAAAGAAATAAAGGAACTGGTTAATATAACACAAAAATGGTACAACCTTTGTGGTAGGAAAGTTTAAATTCAGTATAGAATGACATAACTAAGCAGCGCTGCTCTGCGTTCGACAGAGATGTGTTATAATAAAAAATGAAAAAATAGTTGCAACTGAGGTCAGTCGATGTGATTATATAAATCTGAACGTCAGCCTGTTATTTTGCATTTTTGGTTAGTCTACTGTTTCATTTGCAACTTCACAGAACGTTAATTTTAGTTATACTTGCATTAAAACAATTAATCAAAATAGTATTACCTAATTAGAAAACATTTAGAAAGTAAACGTTTTTGAATTAATTGTGAAATATTATTTTACTCTTTTTCAAACAGTAGTGTCTGATCGTTCCTCCAGATTTCATATGCATGATAATACAATTGGTCAAACTAACTCACTCACGTTGGAAAACAATAGGATGGTTGTTTTATAGAGGTCGTAGCCCTCTCTCTGGACAATAATGTTGTTTTTAAATTAAAACGTTACAGAATCTAAAAAGTTTCGTCAACAAACGTCAATCAATTGAACTGTTCAAAAAACGTTTGATGAAGCATTTGTTTGAGCAGGCATTTGCTAACCTGCACGCTCCTGAAGCTATGCATTAGGCGCTATATGAATGACATTATTTTAACTATTATTATTAATATTTATATCAAACTGTGATAGCTTACTTTTAAGCAATAAAATTTGTCGAATTTGTATAAAAATTACTAGATTTAATATAAAATTAAATAAAAAAAATTGTAGAAGCTGATCAACCTTCTAATATAAAAAGTTCCTAACCAGTGACCACGCTAAAGATAGCAAGGATGTTATGTTATTGGTTTCAAACAGAAGGGTGCAATGAGATAATGATTGTGATAATGTGTGTACGTGTATTTAAAAAAATTTCAAGGAAATCTGGCAGTTTGTAGATTAGCAGAAAGGAAAATGTCGTTTCCTCAAATATTTTCTCATATTATTGAACGTGTCCTAAATGATAGCTGCCGATAATCTTCGAAACATCATACTTACTTGTTACTTTTTCAAAAATGCACTCAGTCTTTTTTTTACAAATTTCAATAAAAATTAGTTTTACATTAGGATAAAATTTGAAATAAGTGCAAGTTCAAAATAATTAAAATTAATGAAAATCCCTTTCTGTTTTTCTCACTATTAGGTATTAAGGCTTTTCATGTGATAAAATTTTTGGAAAAACATGTTTTTACAATAATTCATTATTTTGTTACTTATTCTCAAAAAATTTCCGCCACGACTTCACTAAAATGTTAACAGAATAATTGGTATGCGTTACCACAATTTGACCGGATTCGTTACAAAAAAAATTGCCATCTTCTGCTGAAGTGAAAGATACTGTTATAAACTTCAACGATCGTCACTACCAACACCAGTGTTAAAAATTCAAAGATCCATATATTTCCAACATCATATTTATTTTCTACAAACTACAATGCTTCCAACAATGGTTGGTTAAGTTATCATTATTCCGTAGGTTCAAGATTTCCGAGCAAAACTGCTTCAAAGGCAAACTTGGTTGAACGTTCATTTGAATGCCAACAGTAATAAAAACACTAATTTAATCCACTAATCCAAGTAACTACATAAATAACAATTACAGCTTTTTTAGAAACCTTGCTAGATTCGCCCTATTATCCTCGCTTATTCTTAGAATCTAAAATTACAACTATATATGATATTTAAAGTTTTAGGACGTTAAATTGTCTTAAATTATTTCACCAATTTAACTTTATGCATTGATTTAATTTGTTAAAACAGAAAGGTTTTAGTTATGCGATCACTACCGTTCAATTTAAAAACCGTTAGTTTGAAAATTTTTTGCGTAAATTTTTGATTATGATAGGCAATGAGCGCTGCTCCAAAAAAGTGCAATAAAGTGGTCTCTTCAAAGGATAATTTAAGGTGCATGTCATGTAAAGTGCTGCAAAGAAACGTCGGAAAAATTGATTGGCGATATGTTGAAGATCTCCAAAAATTTTTGTGGTCTTGCGATAGTTGTTTACATGTCTTGGAAAATGTAAATAAGTATAAAGAAGACATAGAAAAACTACAAGTTCTTGAAAAAAAAATCAACGAGTTGAAAAAGGTTAGTTATGTATATACATAAGGATATCAAATGTAATATGACAAAAGTATAAAACACAGTGGGGTCTAGTTACAGGTTTGAAAGACGAGAGATGAAGACTACTTGTCTGACATCGTGAAGAGAGAAATAAAAAACAACGTTGACAACATCCAAAGCAGTGTTAAAATTCTAAGCGATAAGATTGAAAAAACTCATAACCACATCATGGCTAAAAGTGATGAGGACCGTAGAACAAAAAATATGATGTTTTTTAGGTTATATATAGAAGATGTCAACATCATTAAAAACAGGGATCAGACAAGAATAAATTTGTAGAAAGTTTTAATTTTATTTCTTATTTTATTTTTGTTATATGTAATCTTATGTTTTTGGGTCTTTGTGTGTAGAGATGAGAGGAGTGTGTGTTAGGGCATGTGTGTGGGTGTGTGTTTATGTGACTGATGGTTTGTCTGGGAGTTTGTGTGGATTATCAGATTTTTGATTTACCGGTGTTCTATAAACAGATTAAAAGCGTTTATTTAATGTTAATAATTAACTATTTTTATTTTTATCTTTCCTTTAGAGCTAGTTTAAATTTACAAGAACAATGATTTTTAGTTTAAAAAACTTAGCATGCAATAGTTCATTGGGGTTGACTGAAAAGAACACATGAACAATTTCATTAATCGACAGAAACATTGGCAATCGTGAATATGTAAGAAAAATGATATTTTTAGCCTACTAACGTCTAGGAATTGATATGAACCACTTGAACTGAACATTGACCTGGAGGCTTTTGTGTCATTATATTCTATATTTCAGCCATCGTTATACACTTGAAGCCACAATATTCGAGATATTCCTTCTTCCTACACACTGTATCGCTTATTGAAAGTGTGGGCGGCACGACACCGTGATGATAAAGGTGCTTGGTTTTGCTGTTGTGCTGGCCGGTTTCAAAACAACATCAAATTCCACATGCGATGTCAATTAGATGCGTGGATTCAAACGGAAAGTCTTTGTTGTTGATACTTTCGAAATTATTCTGAGAATTGTTTTTAAAAATGTCTGATGGCATTGTGGCTTTTGCTTCTTAAAATGTATATAATGGGAAGAACAAAATAGGGTAATAAAATTAAATTACCGTTAAAAAAACTACTCAGTACTTAGAGTGTACATATTTCGCGTCCGTATTATGTATATATATATATATATATATAAATATATTGTTGATACTTATATATATATATATATATATATAAATTAAATTATAGATTCTTTTTACTAGTTAGTTTCATGCCACTTTTTTATGAGCAATACTAATTACTGAATAGCACATTTAAAATTCCATGATTATGTTCTTTAAGCCTTTATGCCTTAAACTATTTGTATATTTTGTCTTTGGTACGGCGAAACCATAATAAAAATAAAATTGAATTAACATTATTTTATTATCGCGAAATAATTTATGTTTCCTGGCGTTGGGTTTTTAAAACTGCGGCCAGCATCCTAAAATATTTTTTTTAATTTTTTAAATCTCTTAAAAATTCGCGTCTGAACGTATTTCGTCTTTTTTTCATGTTTATTGTTTTGGCGTGATTGAGTGTTTGTGGTTAAAATTAGAATTATAAAAATTGAAACATGACAGTTTGATTGATTGTACTGCATAATTGTGATATTTATTATTTAATTTTTTTATAAAATACAAATTGTGAAATATGACGAGCAAAGTCTTAGCAACTTCTAACACAAATCGTTCTTCATCACTGACCACGGCCGCCAACAAGCCTGGTCAGTCCGGCTCAGGAGGGGTCCTTATGGTTGGCCCCAACTTCAGAGTCGGCAAAAAAATTGGATGTGGTAACTTCGGCGAACTCAGGATAGGTAGGGGTTTTTATAAATTTATATTTAATAAATGTTTCAAAATTTGTTTTCAGTTTTCCTGTCTTGTCTTTATTATAATTATATAATATTAATTATATTATTGATTCTTTTGTAATTCTAAATGTAATATTATTTATTTGTTGTAATTTAATGTTTAATCTTTTAATGTTAGTACAAATAAACAAGAATATGTTATATATAATTATATATCTTATATATTTATGTCATTTATGATCAATAATTGTAAGAAAAGAAGATTTCGAGAAGACTTTTAGTTAGGAGTTTGAATTTTTATTAAGTTTTAAATTTCAAAACTTTTAAAATTTATTTTAAATTTAATCTATTTTCTTTACTTATAGGGAAGAACATTTACAATAATGAACACGTTGCTATAAAGCTTGTGAGTCATTCAATTAATTTTACTAATTATTGATCATTTAAAAATTTTAATTTACATTTATCATTTGTAACTTTTTAATACTAATAATTAATAAATCTTCATTTTATAGTTTGAGTTTCTGGTTGCAAACAATAAAATGTAATTATAATTATTTATTCCAGTTTAATTTATTAGTTCACCATCAAAAATACTGAATAGAATCGACATCTCCTTTTAAATTTAAAGTCTAATTAAAATTTTGAAAAATTGAAGTTTTTAAGTTTTTGAATACCTGTGAAATATTTGTTTTTATTTATTATCTTTTTAATGCTATCTTAACTTTTTTGTAATTCAGCATTATTTTGACATTAATTTCAAAAGATGATGAAAAATCTTATTTAACTCATTTTGTTTAATCACTTGTCATATACATTATGTGATACAACTTTTTAGCTGTGAGCATCTGTGGGTTTAAGTTTTAGTTAGTTCTTTTCACTATCTTGTATGAAAGATTAGAAGTCTGCTAGTAGCAACATGGCTTGAATCTTCTTAACACTGTATTCTGTTGAGTATTTCACTTTAGTTTTTGGAATTCTATTTAGAATTCAGTAAGAGTTATTATTTGTATTTATCATTCATAATGTTATATTGAAATGTTGTTATATGTATACATGTATTATGTGCTGCTTATTATAGCATTAGATAGATAACACTTGTTTTATTGTTGTACACCACTGTGATTTATTAACATTGCATGCCTTTTTTGACAATATGAATTGATGTATGAATGTTTATGGTGCTAGCAAGTGTACCTTATTATTGTTGTTTCTTATTAGTTGTAATGTGATGATCATTTTTGAAATGTTTCTTATCAGTTCTTATCATATCATTTATCTGTATACAGTACTGCAGACACTAATTATTATCAGATAACTTAGTCTTAAATCATTGTTATTGTTGCAAAGAACAGTTTCACAGTTTGTCTTTTTAAGACCATCATTTATGATTTTTCATCTATTTTTTTTCTAATTTTTTTGCATCAAAATTTTCATACTTACCACATTGGATATTTTTATATTTCAAGTAGAATCATAGAGGCCAACAGGAAATAAATTTAGACAATTGTTCATCAACTGACTAATATACACATTAGAATGACTGCACAACTTCATAAATGAATGGCAACCAATATTTTCCACCATTTCCGCCAGGAACCAATGAAGTCCCGCGCACCACAGCTCCACCTGGAATATCGATTCTACAAACAACTTGGACAGACTGGTCAGTTTAGACAAGTCATATTTTAATTTATTTTAAATTCGAATTGTGCTTATAAATAGGCAACTTTATTTTTATCAATTTGAAGTCTGTGTTCATGAGGGGTATTGTTTATATAACCTGAATTTTAAGGCTAGAGTATTTTGAATTTGTATTTACAGGTTTATTTGATATAACTCATTAAAAATCATTTAATAAGGTATCATTATATTAAAAATTGTAATTGATTTATTATTTGTGTGCTATAATCATCAGTTTTTTTATGTACTTATGTAGATGTTTGTGTAAGAATGTTTATTGTTCAAGCTACTGACCTTTAAAATGTGTATTTGGCTTGTGTGTATGATTGTATATTGCAGTGACATTTTTCCTATTCTGCATCTATGTTATCATCATTACCCATTCATGCATCATGATCATTCATTGAATGGGCCAAATATGCTGTTGCTTATTTCATTTAGTATGTGGAATAGTTTTTCATTGCTTGGTTATTTCTGGAAATATTATCTTCCGACTAAGCTAATTTGCAGTTTTTGCATTCTCAACATACTTGGGAAGTGCAAAAATTATAACGAAAATTAAAGTCAAAAATTTTTTAAAGTATTTCCACACATTCATTTATTTTGCCATCATGTAGAATAATTTTTTTAATTTTTGTGTTTTCATCAATAGACAACTCGTTGATTGTAAGAATGTATTTCTATTCAAATTGCAGAAGGTGTTCCCCAAGTTTTTTATTTTGGTCCGTGTGGTAAGTACAACGCACTGGTTCTTGAACTGCTGGGACCAAGTCTCGAGGACCTGTTCGACCTTTGTGATCGCAAATTTTCTCTCAAAACTGTCCTCATGCTAGCTATCCAACTTGTATCTACTTTTTATATTTCATTTACAGTTAATTTAACTAACTTTTCAAGCAAGATCTTCTGAATTTATTTATATATGTATAATATTCATAATTCATTTCTAATGTATATTTTTTGCCTGGAAGATCCAGGATAAGATAATGAATTCAAACATCTTACACCAGATAACACGCATGGAGTACGTCCATTCCAAGCACTTGATATACAGAGATGTCAAGCCTGAAAACTTCCTAATTGGCAGGCAGACATCAAAAAAACGCAACATAATCCACATAATTGATTTTGGATTAGCCAAAGAGTACATAGACCCAGACACTCACAAGCATATCCCATACAGAGAACACAAAAGTCTGACTGGGACGGCACGGTACATGAGTATCAATACGCATCTTGGAAAAGGTTGTCATCAATTTATCTCATTTTTCCCATATTTTGTGTTGCACTTTTTCACAGGTTTCAGTGAGTATGGATGTGTGTGAGTGAGTATAGGTGTGTGTGCATGTGTGAGTATGAGTGTGTGTGGGTGAGTATGGGTGTGTGTGTGTAAATTTGCAATTTGGTAAAGTGAATTCAACATTTCGTTTTTCCAGCTTCTTTTGATTTTCTTGAGAACAAATTTATTTTTGACTGACATCTTGCAGAACTTTGATCTATTTAAAAATTTTGAAAAAAATCAATTGGTGCAATAAAATGAACTTGCATGCATAACAGAGCAGAGCAGGCGAGATGACCTGGAAGCCCTCGGCCACATGTTCATGTACTTCTTGAGGGGCAGTCTACCATGGCAGGGCCTGAAAGCTGACACTTTAAAAGAAAGATATCAAAAAATTGGAGACACAAAGAGGGCAACACCTATCGAAGTTCTTTGTGAAAATTTTCCAGGTTTGTAAAAATTAATTTATTCCAATTATCGAAGAAAATTTTGTGTTTTTAAATTTGTAAAAAAATTTTGATCAAAACTTACTTTTGAATTTCATTGTCTTAAATTTATTTTCTTGATTCCAAACTACATTGAAGTTATTAAATAAAATATTCTATTTAATACATACGCTCATTGGCATGTTACTTTTAAATGAAATTGCAGTTTGATGTTTTAATTTTTCTCGTAAACTTTAAATTGCAGAGGAATTGTCAAAGTACCTACATTATGTGAGAAGGTTGGATTTCTTCGAAACTCCAGATTATGATTACCTCCGAAAGCTATTTTCTGATCTCGTCGATAGAAATGGATGGATTTGTGATTGGGATTTTGATTGGATCGCCAGACAAATAGTTAAACTTTTTTTTTCAATATTACTTTTGCATAAATATTTCATTATATATTATTTTTTATCATTGTAATTTATTGTTTGTTTTGTTCATTTTTTAAGTCAGGTTTTTATGAATTTAGAAAGCCTTTTCATACAAAATCCTTTTGTAAAGTATGGACCTCAGTTCATTTATAGATTTTATTTTGACAATTTTTGACCATTTAACCTTGCTTGACACAACTTTAGTATTTTTTGCCGAAAGGTTTTTCATTCAACCTTTCATTGTCTTTCCATTTTTCACCATGTACTCCAGCTAATTATTTTGAAATATTCATTCACCTTTTCATGTGCTTCAGTTCTTTCATTCACACACTAGTGCTGAAAGAAGACAGTGCCAGATATTTACATCAGTCTAATATAATATAGTAGTTTATAAAATATAAGTGTATTTGGTGCAACACCCGTTTGTTTAGTGAAAGATATTTTGTTTTGGTTCCAATTAGATAATTAATTCTTTTTTGGCTGAAATGAGTTTTTTGGAATATGTGATGATTCACAATTTAACATAGCATAGTAGCTGGTTATAATTATTAAGTATAATTGTTCAGTGTAACGTCCTACCTCGGGAAACCGGGTCTCTGGACGCAAAACGAAGATTGATTGAATTGTTCAGTGTAATTTTAGGGCGATACATTTTTTACAATCTGTTAAAGTAATGTTTAATGAATTATATGACATTTATTTGATTATTTGACAACAAAATAAATCAAACACGACCACTAATTAGAATGCTCCAACGTCAGCTGACCCGGGAAGTGCCACAGGGGACAACGTGCCCTCCTCACCAATGAACAACAACAAGAGGAACAATGAGAACAACAACATCTCCAACCCACACAGCAAGGTCTGGTTATTATTATGTTCCTATATGTGTCGTCATCTATCAGCCTAAGTATCATTCAGTTGTTGCTCTTTTACACTGATTTTTATAAGTTTTTCCATATAGAAAAGCTTTCATTAGTTAATGAAATGTATGGAAGCTAATGAGAATGGTATCAGTTGAAAAAGAAACTATTCAAGCCAAGTTGATAATATATTTAAAAATTTGTTAGTTCCCATTAGTTGAAATCATATTTCGCAGTTTCACTTTCTTAATCAGTTGCATTGAAACATGGATCAAGTTCAGTCTATGCCATACATTCGTCGGATATTTAGAGCATTTTTGATGACGAAACTTTTCAATGATGACTAAATATTTGGCGTTTTTATTCTTGTGAAGGGTACATGTTTTTGTTTTTATGTCTTGAAACAGCTTATTCATAAAACTGTTCTCAGTTGGCCCATCTTCGAACGTGGACGGAATCAAGTACCAACAGACAATCTGGTGACATGCTTGGGTCAAACCTGGCTATTGCTACTCATTTGGGAGGCTCGGTGCAGGTCAGAAAACATTTTAGTGAAGAATTTCATATTTCTTACTGTGTTAAAAATTTTCAAATAAATACATTTTCTAGCACGTTTTTTTTATAATATAATATAATATAGACATATCTAAATTTGTTTGCAGGTTGTGAGTTCAACAAACGGTGAGCTTCAGGGAGACGATCCAACAACAGGTGGACAGTCAAACATTCCCATCAATAACACACCTGATGTCGAAGCAGCTGAGTCTGTCAAGTATGTTTCGTGTACTGTCTGTTATGTTTTGTTTGTTTGTTCTGCTCTGTTTGGTGCTCTTTTGTTTTGCTCAGTTCAGTGTTCTATTTTGTTTTATTTTATTTTGCAATGTCTCATTCTCTTCAGTATTCTGTTCTACCTCGTTATGCTCTGATCTGTAGCTGTTCTGTTTTGTATTGTGTTCTGTTTTCTTGTCAGCGTCACCTGCTTCTTCTCTTCCTTCATTACATCATTATCTAATTCTACACTTTCGTTACTTGCTCCGATTTGGAAAACGTACACGTTCGTAATTGTTGAAGTTGTGATAATTTCAAATTTTGCCGTTATCTAGGTTTCAAGACAATTGTCTTTAACATAAATAAATTATGATAACTTAATTCTTATAGTTTTTGTCCCGAGTTATTTATTTAAATCTTTTATTTTTATGTCCTCAAGATGTTGCTGTTTCCGTCGAAAGAGACGCAAGAAAAGGAAGAACATCCGTCAGCAGTGAGCTGAAGACTTCATTCAAGCTGTTTATATTTATTGGTTGTTTTCATCAATGCATCCAAAGTAGACGACAGGTTGTTGTTATCGTGAAGAAATTTTAAAATTTGAATATTTTATTTTTTTTGCTTTAAATTTTACTTCCAAATTGTTTTTGCTCAGTAAGTTGGGAAGGTCTTTGACAAAATTGTGATTTTGCAGTTATCAAAATGAGTCAGTCAAGCAAAACTGTCATTGCAAACAAATTTTGAGAGAGCATCTCTGGAGAATCTCAACTTTTAGACTGCAGTTCGTGTCCGTGAAAGTTTATTGTAGTGTTAACATGAACTAACCAAAAATCAACTAGTACAAGAACAAATATTTAACTATTTTAAATTCTTTGCAAAGTGAGTAGCATACCATACAACAATCACTTCCTTATCATTTAGCAGGCAATTTTTCTCATTTAAAAGAGCAATACAGGAAAGTTAGTTGAACATTTTAATATATGCAAATCTCCATACACCTAATTTTTATTTTTCATTTGTTGTGAAGACAGTGATTTTTCAATTATTTAACAAAACCTCAAAATACTATACTGGCAACAAACTATGTTGAATGATATGGAACAACTTTTAAGCAATAGTTGGTTTATGTTAAAAAATACATCAAAATTATTTACACAATGCAAATAAACGATCAGTGTGGATTTGTCTGAGGTAGCTCTACTTGTTGTATACTTCAGTTTTGCAATTCTATCAGAATACTGAGTTAGTTAGACATTATAGTACAATTCAGTTCATACGTATGAAATTACTAAGTGGTTTTTCCATCATCACGATTGTAAAACGTGTTGTTTCAGTCCAAAAAAAACTAGAAATAAACTAATCCTATTCAAGGCAAAAGTTATTATATAAGAACAACCTCTCCACTTCTTACACTTCTTACCATTTCTTCTGCATTTATACTGAGCGCAAATTTTATACACACATACACGTTCATTTAAATAAATGAATGAATAAATAAATATGTATTCATCTTTATTTATTTATAAATAATTCGTAAATACATGCTTTGTTCGTCCGATCTTTTCATTTACTGTAAATTATTTGATTCTGTTCTGTTCATGTGGTCATTTTATTTAAACATTTTGATTGTTTTGACGTGAATGCGCTTAATTTCATTGTCCGTTTGTATATATATTATCATTCATACTTTTCTTTACCAGCTTAATACCAATTAAGTTTATGTAAGTGATTGTAGATCATAAAACACACTCACACGTTCACACAGATACATATATATATATAGTAAGGTTTACATAAACGTAATATTTTTTTGTCATGTTTTGTAGTTATTAATGTAGATTAGAATTACGATACATACACATTCCCTCGCCTCATACGTTGCAGTTTTTGTCTAGAAATTGTTCAATGGGAAATGCTGTTTATATATCTGCATCACTGCCCCAATGAATGTTTATAACTATCGTTCTTACAATTATTTCACTTTTGTTTTCAAACTGGCTAGTCTATTCATTTGTTTTTTCATTTATTTGGTAATTTTTTGAAATAATTTTCTACTTTTTATCAGTGATTATTGCTTAATTTTTCGTAAATAATGTTGTATTTTTGATTATATAGTACAATTTTATTTTGCGGTTTTTTATAAAACTAATTGATGTTTGGAATGAATTTCGGTTTTATTTATTTCTTTGTGAAATTATTTATATATATATTTCATTATTGTTGAGTTTAACTCTGGCATTTAACATTTCCCAATGGCTATGTGGGTAATTTTTATGTGTTAGTGTGGTTTATTTGTCAATCCATCCACCTGTCTATTTAACAATCATTCTCTCTATCTATCTATCTATCTATCTATCTATCTATCTATCTATCTATCTATCTATCTATCTATCTATCTATCTATCTATCTATCTGTCTATCTGTCTATCTATCTGTCTATATATCTGTCTATCTATCTATCTATCTATCTATCTATTTATCTATCTATCTATCTATCTATCTATCTATCTATCTATCTATCTATCTATCTATCTATCTATCTGTCTATCTGTCTATCTATCTGTCTATATATCTGTCTATCTATCTATCTATCTATCTATCTATCTATCTATCTATCTATCTATCTATCTGTCTATCTGTCTATCTGTCTATCTATTAATCTTTAATTTTGTTATCATTACATTTCACAGCTTGACGTTTAATCAATTTAATTAGGCTGTATGCAAAATGAGAATATTCACACGGGATTATTTTCCAGAGGCTCGTTTCAGATATCTTTCAACAAACAATGGCCCCAGCGAACTTCAAATGTTTGTTGAAAATTTAAAGATAATACATGTACATGCATATGACAGCGAAACAATGGGGACAAGTTTAAAACTGTGCGGCTAAGTGTGATAGACAATAAAAAATGATGAAAGATTTGATGATAAGTGATGTTGATGTGTTCATGCATCAATGCGTGAAATTAAAGCTGCTCCATGTCCATATAATGTTTGAAACAGAGGATCGGTCGTGAAACACGAGAATTTATGAACAAGCTGCGTGTTTTGTTTGGCCCGTAGTTCTTGAACCAACTTCATATTTAACATCATTATTTTAATCTATTGTAAATTATTGTAGTTATTATGTTATAATAATAACTACTGTAAAATAAATTTTGCGTTTCTGCATATAAGATAATTTATATCACGTACGAACGTTCATATTTACATCGTGATTGGATTGCTCACTTGTGGCGTCCAGCAACAACTGTAAGGGAATTTGATTAATTTCCAGAGTATAGTTATATCAAGAGAATTTCGCACTTCTGATGACAATCGCACTTTCTTCGACCAATTCGACAAAACAAAAAGGATTTTAATTGCAAGTATATATATATCAATACCAGTTTATATAATTTTTAATGCTGAATAATCAGTTCAAACTTAAAAGGCTGCTGAAAAAATTTCGGTTTGAAGATTATGTAGTTGAGCTGCCTGCTTTTTTAATTGCCCTTTCTTCGTTTTTTAACGCCAGGTTTTTGTGTAGCGGAAATAAATTTCATCCATTATTTATTACGAATTTTTTAAGTTTATTTAAGGATAACGATTGTGTTGTATAAAATCAAAAACAATAATGCATATATATATGTGTGTGTGTGTGTATATATATATATATATATGTATACACGTTAATTTGTTTATAATCATATGTAATTTTGCTAACATATATACTTTATGTATGTTTGATATGGCTGAGATGACTATTTTAACAATGGTATACATGCTGTTGTGAATAAGTAGTTTGTAAATATTTAAATATTTTTGACATCTTGTAGATATGTTTTCATAAAATATATCTTTATTGTCATCGTTTGGCCGTCATTAATGTTTGTCATACAAGGCAATGATTTTTTCCAACCCCTTCATACATGTTAATTAAATACGATGTTCTTATTTATTCGTTAGTTTTTCGTTAAAATTTTAGGTTTTTTTTTTATAACTGAAATATAACTGAAATATTTATGGTTCATTGATTGAGTTTCCTACGAAGTGATTTATTATTTAAGTTTTAATTATTAAAAAAACCAAAAAGGTTGTCATTTGAAATCACGACGAAACGTTGAATAAACAAATGAATTTTTTGGCAGATTAAGAGTGGATTGCATTTTTTAATTAATATTTAAGATTAGACGCTACTAACAACGTTTAATCAAATTGGACAAAGGCTATCGAATTTTGGGTAAGAATTGCCTCGGAGGGTGAAGATTAGTGGTTTCATTTTGCACCTTAGAAAAGCGTTGGAGGGTCTGCATGTTGATTTATTGATAACTGCACTTCACACTGCGTCTACACATCTCAAACTTTGTTCGTTGACATCAACACTCGTCATTTCAATATCGTTTAATGTTCCATAATATATTTTACCATTTTATTTTTATTTAAAAAAAACTGAATTTTTTTTTATGTGATATATTTTACGTGATAGATAAAAAAAGTAATTATGTACAACATATAAAGTTTAAAAACATAAGATAGTAATTTTCCTAAATGCTTTTAAAATTTAATGAATAAATAGGTTTCTCAATGGGAATAATGAAACTATCACTGTCCAATGACTATAACAGATGGAAAGATTCGTTAAATAATGATAAACACTAAATGTTCGTAATATTAAAATATAACTCCAAATATACGCACATGCATTTTCTGTGTTTAAGGGAAGTTCAAGAGAATTGTAAGAGATAAAATAGAAATCTTTTGAGCATATTCCTACGGGTCTGTAAAAGATGTTGGCAAAAAGGATTCTAGGTGTATGTATGAATTCAAACACGCTGTCGTTGAAAATTTCATTTAAACATCTCTTAACATGAAAATTGTGAATTTTAAGGTGCTGTTGGTCATCTTAAATTCCACTTTACCAGTTAGGACTTTAAATGCCAACGAAACTGTACATTAGCAGGAGAGAAAATTTGCGTCTAAAATAAATATAAAATAAATGATTCACTTGCAGGTTCATGGTTGTGTGTAAAATATAAATACCCTAGAACATTTAAAAACAAATTTCAAGTCAAGTGAGGCAAGTCTCATAACCGACCAAGAATTAAATAATATTGATAATAATAATTAAATAATAATTTTAATAATTAAATAATAATAATAACAAATAATAAAAATAGAAATAAAGATTATGATGTTGTTTGACTGAATGAGCAAGCAGGCAGCAGTTCAGACCAGCTGAAGGATGAAGACAGGAGTAGGCAGCTAAAGCATCCGTTCCCTTTCCAGGACAGCTTGGACAGCTTCTTGAACATTGTGAACGGTTGCGAACGTCGGATGGCACATGCTCTCATCCATCACGTGCTCCTCTGTCCTGATCTTGGCTCTTGTCTTGTCAAAAACGCCAGTACATACCAGGATGGATTCACATCTTTTATGGAACAGTGATTAATTGTCATTAGTGAAAAATCAATCAAATATAAACCAAAAAAAGTCAGAAGCGCCTCGTATAAAACGTCATATTTAATCTCTAACTACTTTATAACCATTCTCACGTCAACTTAACTTTCAATACAGTTCAATACACCAATGACCACCAGCCACAATCAGAAAAAACTATCCTTTTGCATCACGTCAACACCATTTAAGTTGAACTAATTTTCTTCCATTAACATGCAATGCATCTTGAGCAACAGCAGTGCGATCCTACGAACATTTGTGAATACACACAAGGCGTTCACACTCAGTTTCAGACAATATTCGAACCAGGTGGATGTAAAAGAACAGCAACGCGAAGTATGGCACCCCTCTAGCCTGAATTAATTGGCCAACAGACGATGAACTGGATTTATGCAAACCCTCAAATAACAAAATACATGAAGGAATAAATAATTTCAGATCCCAAGCTATACATTTCACCTGTTTATATTCACTTATTTATTTATTCACAGAAATAGAATCATTACAAACAATAAATTATGTCACAAAATTTTGAAGAGAACAAAAAATTATGCTTACTTGTCCAGGATGACATTTGATATGGAGGGCTCATCTCTGGATAACATATCGTAAATGTTCAGATCATTCTCTAAACAATCTAGTGACGTTTTCTTCTGTTCAGCTGTTAAAATAAATAATAATTAACAATGTTGTGATTTATTAATTAAATTTAAGTTTAATTAAGTATACGAAATATAATTTACAAAGTAATTGATTGCATCACAGCTAACAACTACTTAACAACCAAAACTACATTTTCATGTATTGTTTAATGGTTCACTGAAGTTGTGAGCCTTGATGAAGAACTTCAAATTGACCAGAGCCGTTTTATCTACCACCAACCATTTAAAAAAAATATTCGTTGCTCTCATAAGAAGTTATTTATTTTTTTTTCTCAATTTTCTGAGACATCATATATCTTTTGTCATCAACCATTAGTTATTCATCACCAAAAAGTTAATTCATTTGACAACAAATAAAGTCTTCCTTCATGCTTCATTCATCCTAGCTTAATATTCCTAACTGAGATGTAAACTTACATTCTTGTTTCAAAAACATATCGCATGCTTACAATCATCTATTTATTTAGGTACGTAACTACACTTAAGCATACTGGATAAAAATAAAAATAATTTAAAAAATGAAATATATAAACCAACAAGAAGAAAATGAGGAAGATGAGGAATCCTTGCCAAGTTCGTAAATGAAGGGCTGCTTCCTTCTTTTGTCAGTCAGTCTCTGGATGCGACGGTTGAACAAATTTGCACCATATATGTCGGTGGCTGGGTTGTCTCTGGTTGGAAAAAACATTTTAGATCTGTTGTCATCGTAAGCATGGAATCAGATTCCACCAACAATTGAACACATCAGAAACTACATGCAACAACTTATACCATTCCCAACCCAAGCATTCAACAACTTCAACAACAGAAGGAAAAACAGAAAAAACAAACTGAACTGAAACGACAAAAATTCATGAAAATCAAGCAGAACTGGATCAGCCAGTCACAAACCAGTTACACAACATTATTGTCATTGTGAGCAGCAGTTGTATGCAACATTTTGCATTCTTCAGCAGGGTAAGATCCAGAAAGAACAAGTTTTAGTAACAGTCAAACACTGAGTAAGCAAAATAATAATAACATGAAAATATGCCAGTATTAAATATCCTCAACCAAGCATGAAAAGATTACCGACATTACACAACACTGGAAACATGTCACAAAAAATATCAAACATGAAAAATTGTGTGGTAAATGAATTAAACAGCAAACAAGTTCATTGAAATTTTGAAAATGAGCAAATTTAACAAAATTCATCAGAAACAAAATCTTAAAAAGATGATTCTTGCTGACTATCAATAATCAGCGAAGTCTAAATTTAGACCAAACATGAAAATGTGTTTTGAAGCACAATAAGAAAATTACGCTAATCAGTCAAAAGATAAAAATCTGTGCTAAGCATCAAGGTGAACTTAGATACAAAAACAAAAAACAAATAGGTTAAGAGCATTCAGCATTGTAATAGCGTATTCTTGCAATATATAGGCTTTCTATATTATATAAGTCCTATCATATAACTGTATTATATATATATATATATATATATATATATATATATATATATATATATATATATATATATATATGTATGCTTAACGTAGAAACAAAATAACTGAACATATAAACAAACAACTGAACATACAAACAAAATAACTGAACATATAAACAAACAACTGAACATACAAACAAAATAACTGAACATACAAACAAACAACTGAGCATACAGACAAACAAACAACTGAACATACAATTGCATGTAAACAATAAATTATGCATTCCTGAACTTGCTGCCTCGACGAATTTAAATAAACAATTCATGATCACGAACCAGGATTAAAGAATGAATGAATAATAATGACAAAATAGAGAAAGTCTATGAGGTTAGGTTGCTTGCATGCATGCTTGCAAGTTGTTTGTTTGTTGGTTTGAAGAAAGGAAGTAAGTTAAGTAAGAAAGTAAGTAAGTAAGAAAAAGAATAATTTTAGTATTAGACCGTGCCAACCTTTGAAACTACCCATCATCACATAAGTAAGTAATATGCATGCTCCAAACGTTTGCAGTGAAGAAAATGATTACATAAATAAACAAATAAATAATCAGAAATAAACAGAAATAAATAAAAACAAATTTCAGTCAAAGTGAAATTAGGCAACTTTATCTTTCTTGATTTGACAAAATATTTGTTAAAACTTGAAACATTTGAATTGATAACCCTCTACATATTCTAAATAAATTCTTCCATAGCATCTAACAATAAAGTAACTAGACAAAACATTTGGCACGTTCTCAGAGGAAAATAGTTTTGTTCGAATTAATGGATAAGAAAGAATGCTACGGCACGTTTTGTTTGTGCAGAAATACACTTTGATATTTGAACTAAAGTTCTTTATAAAATATTTTTACCGCAAACAAATAATGGTAAACAACAAAATAAACTGAAAAAGAAAACAAGATGAGAAGAAGTTATATATTAGACACTTCTGCATATGCATGTGTACAAATATGCACGTACACATACGCACGCATACACACGCACACAAATAAATGCTATACATCAGGGGTGGGCGAACTACGGCCCGCGGGCCGCATGCGGCCCGCCGACCCATTTTATGCGGCCCGCGAGTCCTTGAACGCACTTCAGATTTACATATAAAAAATGAATTTTTATGTTTTAGAATTGAATTTTAAACATTTAATTTGAAGCCATTGTATTCTAGAATTAAATTGTTAAAAATTTGCTTAATATTGTTCATTCTAATGGGTGCTAACGCTACATCTAATCAATGTATTCAAGCGGGCCGCCTAGCAAGGCATAGACTATTAGCGATTCCTTGGTTTTTTATTCATTTTTATATAGTTGATCTTCTTGTTAATCTTTAATTTAAATACCAGTTTTTAATTAAAATTTTAAAAAAATATTTAAAAATTAGAAAAAAATTTAAAGTTTTCTATGTATTTATTATCTCAGTCCGCTTTGAAAAGCTTGCGAAGTCCTCTGAGTTTTTAATTTTTACGCACAAATTTCTAATCGCAATAAACATTTTGTCACAATAATGTCATTATTATCACAAAATTGTCATTCCTGATATTTAAAAAATGTTGAATCGAGCTTATTAAGACAAAATTTGCTCTTCTCCAGTCGGGCTGACATCGGCGCTTGACCGAAGTTGGCTGATTTAAATTTTCTTCCAACAAAATCTCTCCTATCTGGGCCGCATTATCACTATATTTATTCTAGCTATACGGTCCATTCTAACTTGAACCTTTCAGTCTTTTATTTTAAATTCAATGGCAACACTGTTTAAAATTGAATTTTGTGCAGGAGGAAGCCATCTTTGTATTCTTTTTTAATTTTTTTGTTTCGTATTTAAAAGTCATGTCTGCTATCAAGAAAAGAAAAATAGATGACGAATGTCGAGTATTTAATGAGGAATAGACAACTAAATATTATTTCACTAACGTCGGTGGAAAAGCAGTCTGCTTAATTTGTCGCGAGTCCATAAATGTTTTCAAAGAGTATAATTTGAAAAGGCACCAGCAATCGAAACATTTAGATTTTGGAAGCAAATTCTCAGATGAAGATCGAAAAAGGAAATGCCAAGAATTGCTTAAAAATTTAAAAACACAGCAAAACGTTTTTACCAACAATCTTCAATCCAAGTGGCTGCAACAGAAGCTAGTTTGGTATTATCTCACAAAATAGTTAAAAATAGTAAATCATTTTCTGATGGCGAGTTCGTCAAAGAATGCTAGCTGGATGCAGCAAACATCATATGTCCAGAGCAGAGAAAAAAATTTGATAGTATTTCTTTATCAAGAAGAACTGTAGTCAGACGAATTACCTTGATAAGTGAAAACTTGTTGCAACAGCTTCAAATTGCTAGTAAAAAACTTTTGTGGTACTCTCTTGCTTTGGATGAAAGCACAGATATGCAAGACACATCACAACTCTTAGTATTTATAAGAGGAATCAATAATTGCTTTCAAATTACTAAAGAGTTGCTCAGTGTTGAATCACTAAAGGACACAACTACTGGCCAAGATTTATTCGATTCTGTGGAAAATTGTATTGAAAAAAATGGATTAGCCTGGAACAAATTAGCAAGTGTAACAACTGATGGTGCTCGAGCTTTGACTGGAAAAAACAAAGGTTTGTTGACACTGATAAACAGAAAAATAAAAGAAGAACATCCAGATCATGCACTTATATCTATTCATTGTGTCATTCATCAAAAAAATTTGTGTAAAGTTGGATTGAAAATTAAGCATGTTATTGACCCAGTTGTTGGGGTAATAAACATCATCAGAGCCAGAAGTCTTAACCACAGACATTGCTCGAAGATATGGAAAGTGAACATTCTGACATACTCTACTACTGCAGTGTTCGTTGGCTAAGTCTTGGCAGGGCACTGAGTCGAGTCTGGGCTCTCAAAGAAGAAATAGTTCTTTTTTTAGAAATGAAAAGTATCAATTCTGATTTTACTACAAATATTAAAAATGAACAATGGAAATTAGATTTTATGTTTGCCATTGACATTATTGAAAAGTTAAATGAATTAGACAATAAACTTCAAGGCAATGGTTTGTTTGAACATGACATGTATTACCATGTTAAATCATTTCAATCAAAACTTGCCCTGTTTTCTAGACAAGCAGATGAAAACAAGTTCTGTCATTTTCCATTGCTAAAACAGGAACTAATTTATGCTGAAGTAGCACAGAAATACAAAGAACAAATACATGATTTAGCTAGGGAATTTGAAAGAAGATTTGAAGATTTTAAAAACCTGGAGCCTTTGTTTACAATTCTCACAACACCATTTTGTATAAAAGCTGATGAAATACCTGAAGACTTGCAGTTGGAACTGCTGGACATGCAAGCAAATTGTGAACTGAAAGAAAAGTTTAAATCAGGTCTTTTGTTAGAATTTTATGGCTCTCTGTCTGATGTAGCATTACCAAATTTTAAAAGATTTGCTGCAAAAATGTTTTCAATATTTGGATCCACATATATAAGCGAAAAGCATTCTCTTGTATGAAAATAAATAAATCCAAAAATAAGTCCATGATAAATGACTGCAACCTAAATGCAATAATGAGAATAGTGACAAGTGATCTGGCTCCACAATTCAAGAACATTGTTGAAAATCGTGAACAGTTCTATACTACCCATTAATTAGAAAAACTTTTGTTAATAAAACTTATTTTTTATATCAGATTTACTGTAAAACCTGTTATATATGTAATTGACAATTTTTACAAATAAATAAAAACGTAATTTTTGGCATAAATAATTTATTTATAGCTTTAAAAAACACACACACACACACACACACACACATATATATATATATATATATATATATATATAATGAATATATATATATATATATATATAATGAATATATATATATATATATATATATATATAATGATGCGGCCCTCCAAAAGTAAAACGTTTTTCAATGTGGCCCTTACGAAAAAAAGTTCGCCCACCCCTGCTATACATTAAAACTACCAACACATCTTATCAACTCAAATTCTTCAGTCAGTATAAAACAAAACCGCGAAACTTGTTATCGGTGGCCTAAGATTTGATCATGTGACACCGACCTTGAACAAGCTTCACTGGCTGACGATAAATAAAAGAATAGTCTTCAAAATTGCAGTTCTTACGTTCAAATCATTGAATGGTATGTCACCGGAATATATGACGAGTAAATTCGCCAAAAAACAAGCTACATCGACTTTTCGTCTCCAGTCGGATGATTTGAATTTGCTGTCTGTGCCTGTTACACGTTTGCAAATTGGTTCAAGAGACATTGCAGTAGTCTTCCACCGGCGTTGAAAAGATTTGAACCCTCATTGGAATTATTTAAGAAAAAATTGAAAACTCTTTTATTTTCTGCTAAACTGTGAAAATTGAGACTTTCTTAAATTTTTAATTTTCATATATAGACACGTACATTTTGTTGACTTAAAGAGAGCGCTCATGAAACAGTTTTAATTGAAACAGTTTTAATTAGCGCTAACAAATAAATTGCTCTTAATAATGATAATGATAATAATAATAATAATAATAATAATAATAATAATAATAATAATAATAATAATAATGTTCACTAAAATTTGTGGATTTAAAAAATGTAACAGCATGTCATGTTGTTATCATAATTGGCAAACCCAAACCTTTTAAAAACGACTACATTTGTTTAACTGCTGTAGTTAGCCAAAAAGCAAAAGAAAGAGAGAGAGAGAGAGAAAGAGAGAGAGAGAAAGAAAGAGAGAGAGGGGAACCTGAAAATGCAGAGTGCGTCCTGCAATTGAAAACTATTAATAATTCGCTATTAATTTTTTGCATACATGTGGCTGTATGTGTGGAAAGGAAATGCAACCACACAACATACATGCTCAAATACGCACAATGGTGAATGGAAAATAAAATAATTTAACACAAATTAAACAGCAATATACAAAGTATAAAGAACAAAACATCAAAAATGATAAATAAAGTTATTACAGCAGTTTGAAAGCACGAACCACGATTTAAAACTATTATGAACGAAACAATATACAGATGAAATAGAATGATACTCAAATAATAAATAATATTAACTACGACGGGAATGAACATACATGTGTCTCGAGTATATATTTAAAGTCTTAAATGGCAACTAATTAAAAGTTAAATAAAATTTTTATTTCACACATCACGTTGTCAAATTACCCTGGCAGCTAACTTTGACATAAACCGATTAACTACTTAATTGAAATAACAACAAGCAATTAAAATTATGCACTTTTAAACTTAGCCAACTTTTTGAACCAGAAAACGACCATCTACACATTCATCACACCACCATAAAAACAAATAATCACGTCATCAGAGAAATAGATCACAATGTTCAACCATGGATTAAATGGAGATAAAACTTTCTTTACAACCCTAAATCTTCAACAGGTGCTAAGATTAGTCTTTCAAAATATTGACAAGAAGCAGACTTAGAGAAACATTTTTTTCAGATTTCAACTCACACTAAACATTCATTACAAAATAAAAATTGCTGCAGATTCATACGATTACAAATTATTTTAGTTCTAAACTGTTATGAAAATTTTAGGTCAATGATTTTGCACCTTTGGTCTTATTAAATTCACAGGTAAACAAGTTTATCTGCAGTTCAAAAACCATTCAAGTTTCATATCGAAAAATAATATCAAGAAGTCATCACCATGCAAAAGTATGACGAGATAAAAATACATCAAACATACCTCAAAATAAAACCAGGGTAATAAAAAAATGTGAAATAAAAAGAATGATTGAACATAACTTACCCAATGCAATACATGGTCTTGACAGGCGGCTTCTTCATTTTCAGTGCAATGGTCTGAAGGACGTGTTCAGCGTAATGATATGTGATCTCGCTTGGTTTGCCAAGCTTGGCAGTGTATTGGAGGGTGTTGTTCGTCAGCTTTTTGTAAAGGGTTTCCAAACAAGTCATAAAACATCCATGTCCAAATCTGAATTACAGTGGTAATAATTTGTTTTAATTTTTTTTTGTTTGTTGAAAACGTTTCAAATTTTCAACTTTCAAATTTTAAAAAGTATGGTAGGCCATGGTACAAATTCACCTATATAATATTTTCCTGTTTCCATTTTCATATAAATATCAAAAATAAATGAAGCTTTTAAAATGTTAATTTTCTGACAGATTGATGAAAAGTAAGAAATTAAATGTAAAAGCAGTTTGATGATGTGAAGGGGTTTGCAACAAAACTTGAAAGCAGTTCTGCAGTTTTAATGCCTCTTGGACAACCAACCCAAAATGTGGACGAACCTTGGCATGGGTGCTTCAGCCATCCACACAAAATCCATATTACAAGCAAGAATTGGGAGGTGGGGGTACGGAATATAAGGGAGGGCCTTGGATGGTCGACCATCACTTATCAGCACATCAATGATTATCTGTAGACTTGTTTCCCAGCTGACTGGCTCTCCAAACAAAACAATACCTGGTTAATTAATTTTTTCATAAGTTACCAGTTTTATTGAACAACAAATTATGAAAATCTCACCTTCAATTTTTGGAAAAAATTCTTCTAAGGCACATGGCTTAATTGAAAATATAAATAAAATTAAGTTATTTAAAAGAAATATACTATAACAAATCAAGAATTTTGCATATGAGCGGTGAGAATGAACAACAAGTATTATGAATGCAGCAGCGCATATATAATTTTTTAATTTCTGCAAATTTCCTTTCTTGAACCATCTCATCATCAACACATCAACAACTACCTTGATTCTGTTTTATGAAAACATGTAATGCTAGCCACAAAAATCTATCCTACACTCGTTCAACCAGTTCAATGACAACAACAGCAAACTGTTTAAACATTACTTATGATATACATTCCAGTCTAGTTGAATCATAAACATTAAAATTCACGAACTAAATTTAAACTTTTCTTTTGTTAAATCTAAAAACCTGCTTGTGGACAAGATTTTTATATAAACTCTGGTACTAAAGTTCTAAGATATTTGCAATGATCTTCGAAATCTGAGATACACACCTATGTGATTCAAGCCGAACACCTTAGAAGTACAATATATAAAAAGAAAAGGACCAAACAAATTAAATGAAAAAAACAATAAATGAATGAATGAACAAATCAACAATTAAATAAAAAAAAAACACTATATAATGTTATGCTCACTGCAGCTTTCCTTCTTTTATAATCATTTGTGTCTAACTTTGGAAAGCAGTGTCGAAACTGCTCTAAAGTTGTAACTTTGGAAAACCCCACAAATTTTGCAATTTCTTCGGTTGGTCCTTGCCCCGATACCAGCATGTGCTTGTCCAGCAATTGCCTGAACATTCTGAGAGGACTGTGAGACATGATTACCTGATCTGCATCGATCTGCAAGAGAATATTTTTAATGGAATAAAAATAATTAAAAAGCCGCAATCATAAAAGTTACTTGAATGTCGAGAAGTTGGGAAAGATGGTTAGCCTTGGACTGCCTCATGCTGTTGCCAGCATTCGTCACAAATATTGTTGGTATTTTAAACTTTTTACAATCATCGACGAGAAGTTTGAAAGCTGTCTTTGAATGGGGCAATAGCATTTTGCCTCTTGTTATGACTCCATCAATATCAAAAAATAAGCCAAAATCAGAAGAAGTTTTTCGACCATCAGTGATATACTAAGAAAGGCAACATTGATTAATTAAAAAAAAATTTATTTAGCTTTAAATATTATTTAAATTAAACAAAAAACAATATACACCTGGGGCAAATTACAAAGCATGTTTAGCTAAAAATGAAAAACTAAGACTTTCTAGTCTAGAGCCTAGAGATCTTAAACTAACCAATAGTTAAATTGTTCAAAATACATGATAACGTTAATCAACGGTTAATTTCATAATAATTAATCATTAATTAATAATTTATAGCAGAATTTGACCATTTCCTCTTATATCCTATACTATATATATCTACAATAGAAGTAGAGTAGATCGATTAAAAAATAACAAGAAAAACCAACATAACATGAAATAAATTCATTAAATTAAAAACAGAACATAAATAATAAAAAAGATACCGTAAGAGTTCGGTTCGGAGTTAGCATTATTATTCTTTTTATGTTTGTTTCATTCCTACTCTTCAACAGGTTGGCAAGTAACTGTGAAGAAAACCGTTGAGTGGACACAGTGGTCATCGGTACGGCCATTTCAAGCAACTTTATATAACTAACTCTAGCTATCTGATCAATAATCACTTATTACTTAACTGGATATTCAAACTCAGCTTTGTTTGATTGAACCTATTGAAACCAAACCAGCAACAAAAATAATAAGGACAAGCGTACCAAATTCCTAATCATTAATTTCCTAATATTTAATTTTAAATTTTTAATTATAAATTATTAAAAATTTTTAATTTAAAATTTAAATCAAACTAAAATGTATTAAAAAACAAAGGAGTGATTAATTAGTATTAATGAAGGACACTTGTCTCAGCCATTAATTACTTCTGAAAAGCTAGCAAACGTTAACTTTAAATTAAAATTTAAAATTAAAACGTTCATTTTTATTTTAAAAGTAATTTTTGAAAAATAAAATAAAAAGTATTGTAAATTAAATTTTTTATAAAATAGAAAATAATTTTCAGTGTGAAATAATATTTATTTTTACGTTAGTTAAACGAACGTTTTTCGACTTCAGACAAGTCATTAATTGATTAACTAAATAACTAATTAGACATTTCTTCCACGAACACAGGCTAAGTACGATGATGAATGAGTTGATAACATTAACAAACAAGTGATGAACTACCTACATCGAGTTTGTGAAAAGTGAATCTGAATAATCGAATATTATTTGTGATGCTGATCATAGGAATATACATAACGTATATACTTTATATATGTTATATTATATATTTATATATATATATATATATATATATATATATATACCTGGAACAAAGTTTGCGAAGCTTGACAAATATAACAAACTTAAAATATCTATCTATACATATATACCAGAGTCCCAAGCAAAGAAGATTTTTCCAAACGGAAACCACCCACATCCGTATTGTTCATTATCCTTATCCACACCGCATCCGCGAAAAGGCAACCTAAAAAAGCTTTTGAGGATAAATATTTATGCGTGAAGCATGTATGTCGGAGGTGGGAACTATTCATCCATTCATCCGTCCATCCATCCGTCCGTCCGTCTGTTTGTTCGTTTGTTCATTCATTCATTTATTCATTCAATCAGTCTTTCATTTACATACAACCTTGTCTTTATTGTCTCCTCTAAATTGGTCACAATCTCATCCGCCGACAAAATCAACGTAGTAGTAAAATCAAATTTCATGCTTTGCGATCAACAACCAACGGTGAAATGGTATTCAAATGTTTCCGTACAACTGGCACAATTCACAGTTTTAATTTTAAGAAAATTTTTATATAGCAAAATAGTTGCTTCAATTCAAATTTAAATTACTGTCCATGATTATGAAACTTATTAAACTTAATGAATTTATTTTTTATTTGGATTTAAAAAAAGGAATTCGTAAAACAAAAATTTAACTAAAAAACTCAATAACGTTTAAGACAGTATCGTTTTTAACAAGTTATGCTTATAAGAAGGGCTGCTGACAACATCTTACTTGTATATATTTCCATGTATGTATTCGTTTGTGTGTGTGTTGCGTTGTACCGTAGTTTGTATGTTTGTGTATGTTATAAATATAACAAACATACACGCGTATGTACAAATCCTAATGTAACCTACGTTTGAGAGTATTTGCGCTAAAAAATGCAACAAAAAAAGATACAGAATTGCATTTTAAAGAAAACAAACAAGTGAAGAAGCACTTATTTGAACGGCATTTAGTGAGAAGCCCCCTCTGCGCGTCAAGGCAGTTGTTCATGAAGGGGATAATAATAAAAAGATAAAAGATCCTTATCAGAAAGCTTAGCGTTGTATGCATCTCAAATTGCTTATTTATATAAATAATCCTATCTACCTACCTATTAAATATTATATGCATGTGTGTGTTGCAAGTGCAAGAAAGTATAGAAGAAAGAGATAAAAACTTACGTGCTCACCTGTTTAACTGCATAATTTAATAGGTAGGTAGATAGGATTATTTATATAAATAAGCAATGCTGTATGTTTTCTATCTATAATGATATCGGTAAAATAACGAATACGGCTAGAAATAATAAAAAACTTGACTAACATAGAATATAACGAAATTTAACTAAAATATAACGAGAATAATAACGTGTTGATTGTCGTGTTTGATTGCTGTTGTTGGTGTTGTGTTGAACAAAAAACAAAACAATTCAATGCAAATAAACTAGAACGCAAGAAGAATGAAAGAATAGAGTCCCTAACTTACCTATGTTCACTTAATTAACTCACCTACCTATGTTCAATTAGCTCAACTTACGTATTAATCCTACCTATTTGTACGATTACGAAGAAAGTAGTAAGGAAAAGGATAAAACAAAACAACGAATGTGCGTATGTATGTGTGTGTGTGTGATTGTGTTTCTTGCAAACTCTATATAACAGCGCAACAAAACTCTATATAACTCTATATAACCGCGCAATAATAATATCGGTAAAATAAACGAATAAGTCTAGAAATAATAAATAACTTTAATAAATTAAGATAAAAAAGAAATTTAACTAAAATATAAGGAAAAGAATATTGTGTTGATTGTCGTGTTTGATTGCTGTTGTTGGTATTGTGTTGAACAAAAAACAAGCAAAACAATACTATACAAATAAACTAGATTGAAGGAATAGAGTTCTTAACTTACCTATGTTCATTAAATTAACTCACCTACCTATGTTCAATTAGCTCAACTTACGTATTAATCCTACCTATTTGTACGATTACGAAGAAAAAAGTCAGGAAAAGAGGATAAAACACCAAGCAAACAAAACAACGAATGTGTGTATGTATGTATGTGTGTGTGTGTTTGTGTGTGTGTGTGTGTACAAACTATATAACCGCGCAATAAATAAAACTCTATATAACCGCGCAACAAATAAAACTCTATATAACCGCGCAATAAACAAAGATGTAAAAAAATGAGATCAGGCGCCCCCGACCATGTGCCGAGGGACACCTGATCTGACTTCAACTTTTTTCGGCTCCCTTTTATACTATTTCCATTCATACATTCTCAACATTTCAATCATTCGTAGCAATGATAAGCTTATATGATGTATGCAAAACACTATTATACATGCTTAACGACAATATACCAACCATAGGCCTACTAGAAGGTGATTAAGGAACGTCACCCTAACTTTCTGATTGGCTCGTTTGGTTTGGACACCGGATAACGTACACGTACACACGCAATTAATAATATTTTTATTTAATTATTAAATAAATTTATTATTTAAAAAATTATTTTAGATACTTGTATGCATGTGTACATGTTTGTCGTTACGAATACCAAATTTACTTACACGAACAATTTTGAAATTTATAAATGTACAGTAAATGTTTGTGAATATGTCTATGTATATTCATATTCATTCATTTATTCGTTCATTCGTTCGTTCGTTCATTTATTTTTTCGTTTGTTCGTTCGTTCATTCATTCATTTATTTTTTCATTCATACATTCATTCATACGTTCGTTCGTTTGTTCATTCAGTCATTCACACGGTTTTCATGAATAAGCTTTGTGTTGGAATTAATTATTTAAATATATTTTTACCCGGATAGTTTTAAATAAAATTTTTGTTTATTTTATTTCTTTCATTTTATGTGTTTATAATATCACACACACACACCATACCACACACACACACACACACACACACACACACACACAAATACATATTTTATTTGTTAGTCTGTTTTTGTTTGTCTGCTTGTTTTTTTTTGTATTGCTTAGGGATTTGTTAGTTAGTTAATTTGTTTGATTGTTTGTTTTTATGTCTGTTTATCTGTCTGTTTGATTGTTATTTAGTAACATTTTTATCTGGTTTAATTTAAATAAAACTTGATTCATTTGTTTCATTTCGTATGTATATCGGGCACGCTAAACACTTACAAACTCAAAAACACATGCATACGCGTATTTATTGGTTTGTTTGCATGTTTGTTTGTATGTATGTATGTATGTATGTATGTATGTATGTATGTATGTTTGTTTGTTTGGTTAGTTGGTTGTTTGGTTGGTTGGCTGAAAGGTTGATACTTTGGCTGTTTGGTTGGTAGATCGGTTGTTTCGTTGGTTGGTTGGCTGGTTGGTAAGTTGGTTGTTTCGTTGGTAGTTTGCTGTTGTTATTATTAACTTTGTTGTTGTTGTTGTTGTTATTGATGTTGTTGTTGTTATTGATGTTGTTGTTGTTATTGATGTTGTTGTCTTTTGTATTGTTGATGTGGTTATTATTGTTGCAAAACAAAAGTAAGCATAAACCGATCAAACACGCGTTAGATCAAAAATCAATAACATTAAATCAATAAACTTTATACAGATGTGAATGATTGAATCGATTGTAAGTATAATATATAAAAGAAATGAAATAAAAGTAATACATAATTTTCCGGTTATATAAAGTTATATAGAGTTTGCGCGTTTATATAGAGTTATATAAAGTTTGCGCGGTTATATAGAGTTATATAGAGTTTGCGCGGTTATATAGAGTTATATAGTTATATATAGAGTGGTTTTTATGTTAAATTATTTATTTTAGGTGGGTTCTTTAGCGGTTACTCATACACACATACATACATCATGTTTGTTTGTGTGGTAGTATTCTTTGTTCTGTTTTACTCCTTTTTCTCTTTCTTCATGAGGTTTAGTTAAGTTAATGAAACATAGGTAGGTGAGATTAATTTATTATATAGGTAGGCTAGGGCATAAGGTAATTTAGTTACATAGGTAGGTTAGGGACTTCTATTCTTTTACTTGGTGGTGTGTTTTTCGTTGTGTTTTTTTTGTTTTGTTTTATACAATACATTCAGCAGGTACGCGGTGGTTCCTGGTTTTAATGAGATTTTTATTTTTTTAATTTAATAGTTCGTAAAGTTATAAAGAGTTATATAGAGTTTGCGCGGTTATATAGAGTGGTTTGTATGTTATATTTTTTTATTTTAGGTAGGTTCTTTAGCGGTTGCTCATACATACATACATACGTCATGTTTGTTTGTGTGGTAGTATTTTATGTTCTGTTTTACTCTTTTTTCTCTTTCTTCATGAGGTTTAGTTAAATTACTGATACATAGGTAGGTGAAATTAATTTATTATATAGGTAGGCTATGGTATAAGGTAATTTAATTACATCAGTAGGTTAGGGACTATTCTTACACTCTACTTGGTGGTGTTTTTTGTTTTTTGTTTTTTTTTGTTTTGTTTCACACAATACATTCAGCAGGTACGCGGTGGTTCCTGGTTTTGGTGAGATTTTTATTTATTGATTGTAGTTTGTGCGGTTATATAGAGTTGCGCGGTTATTATTATTATTATTATTATGAATGTTTAATAGGCGCTTTTTCAATCTTCTCAAAA